TACGAACTGTTTCAAATAACAATTCAACGAGCTAATGTCTGACGAACATATGGTCTCTCAATATCCGTGGGGACACTGTTGGTCGATGATGACCAATAGCAAAACACGTTCACTCTATTGTCACACCTCTCCACTTCGCAACAACTCAGTTTCAAACCCGAGCGAACGGGCTTGTGTGCTTAGCTAGGACTCTATGGCAATAGTTACATCGTATATACATCTTGAAGAGAGCTGGTCCATCTATGTGCGGATGACGATCATCTTTGCACCTCATCCGTGGTCGTTTGTACTGAGGACCCCCTGTCCAGCAAGGAAGAGTCTAAGAGCTTGTTGAAAGCTGGTAGGCGGCGAACTGAACAATAAGATACTGTCGCGGACTTTTATGAGGACTAAAAGAGGCCAGTCCAAATAAAAAAGGAAAACCACACCAGTGTACGCCTTCCTCTAATTCATTAAGCATCCAAACATCCCATCTGAACATTTAACTTTGCTGGACATGCAGATGATTAAAAGACATGTCACATCACGATTGATCAAAGCGACACAGCTGCGCCACAGAAAGTCATGAATTTTGTTAAAGAGTGAGTAATCTTAGCAAAATTTCTACGAATGTGACCAAGATGTATCGGGTAAAAATTGCTGATGGCGAGATAAAACGGACATGAGGAGGTTAATTTTTTATGACTTTGATAAAAAAAATTCAGAATTACAAATATTGCCTGCGGAGTATTCAATTTTTCAGTGAGTCTCTGAAGTCTAGAGAAAATGTAATACCCGCATCAGACTTTCACCGGACACTGTCCAACGTAAAATGAGGGGAGAATACATTCGGCAACTTCCCATCGCAGAACAAATGTTACCCCAAGATCCTCGTTAATCCTCGCAAAGAACACACAACATAATTCTTCATCCGAGCAGCCTGATGAATTATATCTTGAACTTGCATTTGAATGCGGGAGAGTTCCAATTTTTTCCATATAGCGACAATCTAAGAATTCTCTCTGATCTTGGAAGTTATAACAAAGCTGACATCAACTGCCACCCCAAGAAGTACCTAATAACATGCCCTTCGCTGCAGAAATTGTCTACTACTGGAATAGGAATGATCGCACCATTGTAAAACAAAAATGATAGGCAGTGAAAAAGTAATCCACGTTTCGTTTCGTTCTTAATTGGACTCGTTATGTGGATTTCAACTCCAACATCGATCGCTTTCCAATATTACGGGTGCCATGCCCTTAGTCAGCACAGCAAGCGCTTATTCTTGAAGAAACAACTGTACAATTTGTACCTAAGAATTCAGCAGTCAAATCCTAATTTATCCATTTGATGGGCCTCACTCAGAGGGAACCGCGCAGCGGATGGCTTTTTCAGGGTCACATACTTTTCTTTCTCATTTATAACTAGTAAAACCCCAGGCCCAAGGTTTGATGACCAGTAAGTCATTATCGAATGTTGTGAAGGTTTTTGAGCTATTCTGACTAAAGACTGATGGTCAGTTTCCTGCTAGTTCCTTCTCGAAGATCAAGAGGGATTGAAAGCACATGCGTAACCAATAGAAACTGGTTTTTCCTTTAGATAATTTCACGCTAGTTTTCGCATGATTCGCATTTTCTGTTTTCACCGAATAAAAAGTATAAAGCAAATTATTTTGCCAATGCTTGTGAGCTCAACTTTTGGACCGTATCCATCTTATAGTCACTGTGGGCAGGTGGGTGTGACATATGTGTCCTGAACTGTAAGCACATACCATTCACAATGAACCAATTGTACTTTAGGTGACCAGGAGTCTTTATTTTTGTGGCGGTGGTGAGGATAATAGGTGGTGGTTGCTGCAATTTGTAGTGGTGTGGATAGAGATTTTGCTAGTGGTGATGACGATGATTGTAGTGGTGGTGCCACGGGCATCCGTTAGCGTCCTTATGGTAAAATCTCTTGAGCTCATAACCTAGAGTATGGTGCTATGAAATTAAGAAGACTCCTAATCAGCTCTATTGCTTACTCAATTTTCCAATACTTCCTGTTAAGGCGGGAAAAATCCGCCTGGGTCCATACGGACTGGGATTGATTGCTTGTGCCGTGGATGAAAGTTTAAAAAATAGCCCGTATCTGAAATAATTTTCCAAAAACATTTTTCAAAGGTTCACAATTTACTATTGGTGGTCATTTGTGCCTCAAAAATGATGTTTCTTATCCGTGAGCTTGTGGTGCACAAGTTGGATACGTTCAAGAGTGAAATCTTATATCCGTGTTCTTTTCTGTTTGCAGTGTCTCGAAGTAAATCCCCTAAACGAGGCTTCTGTGCTCCTATAGGGGAATTTTTCTCAAATGTAGGCGACCACTCAACACTTCTGAATGGTAAGCACGAAGGCAACACATCTCAGTGAAATGAAAAACACGCGTCACAGAGTCTGCGTCCCAACATCCCAGTTGCCGAACAGGCTGGAAAACAAGTATTCATCGTCAAGTTATGCACCTGTAGACAGAGTAAAAAAGAATGGTCAGTTGTTGATTTGCGTTTGATAAGAACATTTGTAGATGTGTATTCTGAAGCCAGGAACGTGCTCACACAATGGGCTGCAACTCGCATTGTGGATGCAGACGAGGAAGAAGATGCCAGTATTCTTAACAATGTTATCAATATCCAAAATCAAACCTTTACAAAACACCAGTGGAATGAGCTGAATGGAGAAATTTTTGAATTCTCCGAAAAATTCAGAAAGGTAGGTTAGGCCTGAATATTCTTTTTTAAGGTTGGAAGGAACTATTAGTAACACACAAGAAATCATTTATTCTCAAGATCAATTTGCTTTAACAATGATGACGTTTCTAAATGTATCTCAGTGTCATGTGCTGGTTTCTGGTGATCATTTGCAACAATTCTAATGTTCAGTTTTACGTCCACTGCATTAAAACACTTACGAATCTATTGAGTGACAACCCCAAAAGGTCACTCAATAGGATTGGACGGAAGCGCCCACCTGGTGAGCTTCAAGAATAGTGAAGTTGGTCATGGGCTTTTGAAGGGTTTTCAGCAAAGTTATGAGTACTGCATTACGTCTTTGTAAGAGACCACATTGTGAACAGTAGTTAGCATTGCACTGTTTAGTTCATACGAAAATCCGAAAGTATTTTAGTTTATACTGTACTTATAGTTGCAGAAGTACCCATTCATAAGTGCACCTCCCGTTTCACACTTGACTTCTTGATAGCAACTGATACAGCATGGAATTGGACCATGGTTCACATACTGGTGGATACCGATGGAGACTTAGATCTCAGAATGGGACCTTCATCAATACACGAACTTAGTAACTGCATGGTCATGGTTCGAACCCAACTTCGACGTTCCAGCTGACAGGAGACGTGAACGTTGACAACTGGAGCAGTCGAGATACAAAAGTTGAGTTCGAGCAATGGTTCTTCTGGCCACTAATTTTGCTCTTTACCTACTAAGTCATCCAAAACAACACAACTAGTGTTCCCCTCCCCATAAACTTTTATTGGTGAGGTTTATCCTGGACTGGGAAAACGAATTTGTGAGTGTTCCGGTCCGAAGAATACTTTTTTGAAACCGCATCGATGCAGCTCTTCATATTTCTTAAATCTTGTCTTTCTTCCAATGCCCCCAGACTTCAGACGCAGAAAAAAGAGTGAACTCAAAATCACAGTCGCATAAACCTTCTCAGACTGGTCCCCATGGTTCTAGTAGAACAGAACGGAAGGAAACGATCAGAGAGAATCCAACGCAGAACATGTTGGATAGAATGCTTTTACGTTTTGAAGAGTCACGTGCTCGTCGTGAACTTAGGAGACAAGAGGAAGAACAACGGGCGCGTGACTTGCTCCTACAACGCGAGGCGGAGCTCGAGGCTGCAGAACTGGTGCAACTAGTGGGTGGTTTAGTTTATAAACCAAACCGATGTTTTTAAAATGTGAATTTCATTGTGAATTGAAGTCGCTCTATGCTGAATGACATTTTACATCTGTTTTGTCGTTGCCGGAAATCGCCAACTGGGGATATCTCACAAATATGCGGTGCAACTGGGACGCGCGACCTGGCGGCTGCTGGTTGGAGACTAACCCGTTTGACTACGAACGGCAAATCATTGGTGTGATACTCATAATCGTAGGATATTGTGCTGAAATCTTTGTCGACTATTCTGATGTGGTAGATTCGACCACGGTCGATAAGAACTCAGCAATATAATTTGTGTGTGAGAAGACTGGGTGAATCTTCTCCATCAGTGTCCTCATAATACACGTTAAATCAGCACTTTAGAATCTAACATAGTGGCAGAAATGAAATCGAATATAGATTTCGATCCTCATATTTCGATGGTTGTCTTACACGAAACGGTTGAGTCACTCAATACTTCACCTTTTCAACACCACTTCAAAATCTGACAGATGTGGAGAAAGTGATTCCTTCGTAACATTGAACAGTATTTTGCTGGCTGCTTTTTAAAAGGTAACAGGCTGACCATACCGAAATCGCTACCCCGCGAATAAGTAACATCTATCACTCGGTAGTATTCCGATAAAGATCAAAATAATTCAAGTTATCTATCCTAGGACCTCCCCAATCAATGAATACTGCATTGCTTCCTACGGTGAATCCAATGTTATACCCGTCAAACTTCAACATTGTCAACCTGATGTTGTTTATTACAAGGTAGACTCTTATAAACTTCAAAAAGGTTTGCACTATTTCCGTGTAACTCACACACCTAACGTTTTGTAGGAACAGCAAGCAGCTGAGCGTCTGAAGGAACGGTTGCGACAGGAAGAAGAGATGCTCCGTATTCGTAGAATGATGGATCTAGGAAACGAAACGACCTCGACAGAAAGGTTTGTCATGGTTTCTTTGTTTGGATTACGTAAGACATTTGCTCAATTTTGTACTAAGTACGCCCAATGTCTAAATGGATATTGATTCGCTAGATCATTCGTGTTCGTTTTTTGAAGGAGAATAGGGACCTGGATCAGTTATGCCTGATCCTGACTTGGCTTGACTTTTTCAAATGGTGGATTAACGCCAAGCCGTCAAAGAACTTCTGTGTTACAGGAGAACTGTGAGACTTGCGTCCAAATGAGTCCGACAATGGTTCATCATATTGAGCTCAAAATGCGAGCTCCGACCAAACCGATTCTCTTTTCTCAGAACCATTTATTGATGTTATTGGTGTGCCAGTCTTTTTCACGATTCGTATGGAACTAAGCTGATGCGATTCAACGTTCCTCCAAAATTTCCCTGTATCACGCACGTTGATTGTCTTCACTGTTGATTATCTGGTACAAATGCATTTGCGGAATTCCGGTTAAACAGTGACCACTTGGGGAATCCCCATCTTGATCATTTTAGAGGATGTCACGATGAGGAAGGGGTATCGGACAACTCAAAAGTCCAGTTCACTGCTGATGCTGACAGGGAAATACGAGAGTCGGTGAGTGATACGATACACTACTGATAATTATGTAAATATCTGTTCACTTTTTCTGTCCATTGGCAAGCAAGTAGAGTTCGGACCTTTTTGAGCTGTCGTACGTCTGTCTTGAATCAATTATCCTGTTGGGAAAACTGTTAGAAAGACAAATGGATGACTATTCACCTTGATCTTCAAACTGTCTATATTGGACAACTTGGGTGTAAATACCGGAAATGAACAAATGTACTCTTGAAATACCTTTAGGGTACTTTTCTTTGAAAGTATGATAAAAGCAAAGCATTCTTACCTATATTATCCCGTCGTGGATGGACACTTTCGTGACGCCGTCCAGATCATAAAAGCTGTTATTTTGCCAATATAAAAACAATACAACTCACCTTGGATGGTGCTACTGTAAGGGTTAAGTTAGTAAGGGAAAACCACCTAAGTTATTCGGTGGCCAAGATAGTATTCATTAGGGTCACTTAAGGTTGCTTGCTAGTTTTTACATCGGAATCTGCATTCGTACGCAGTTTGATCCTAAGAGGGGCACTATCGTGATCTAGTACTGTTGTCCATCAGTGAGTTAAATCGCAATGTTCTCTAGGGCTATCTAAAATATATACAAAATAATAATGGGTTTTTACATCGGAATCTGCATTCGTACGCGGTTTGGTCCTAAGACGGGCATTATCATGATCTAGTACTGTTGCTGATCAGTGATTAAATTGCGATATTCTCTAGGGCTATCCAAAGATATATACAAAAATACAATAATACAATAATAGCAGTAATAATAATAATCATTCAGCTGTGACAAACCTTCGGTGCCTAACCATGCCAACGGGTGGGGGGAACATGAGGGCTGGGATATTGCCCAAGCCTAGACCGGAGCAATCGGGATGCTGAGGTTGGATTCGAACCATGGACCTTTTGGGCAGTAAGTTGGCGCCTTAGCCACTAAGCCAGCTGCTTCGAGCCCAGAAGACACCCTAAGAATGTGTCCTATTCGAAAATAAGCTTATATGTTATGCTTAGGTGGTATCAAGTCCTCATAGCCGATGTTTCACAAAAGACGCTAGACTGACATTCTTGGTTTAACTGAGCTGTAATCTTAAGGTGGCATAAATCATTGCTGAGATGCAAGACTACTCACTAGCCTTCTGTCGCATAGCAGGAGTTCGCCCGCAATGAAGTGAAGCTTAGGTCAGTACTTGGTAGCGCAATAGAAAAGCTAGCGCAGCAGATGCGTCCTAAGTAGAGAGTGTGCTTAGAACAAGTGCTAGTTAAGTCCAGTCACTACCTACGAACGGAAATGTTAGTATGCATCCCAAATTCCCGTTGGCGAAACTTCGGATCATGACATGACAATGCAAAATGAAGACACCCTCATTCGAATTGAGTGTCGTGACACAACTGTTTGGGCTCCATGTGGCTTCCTTGCACGCGCCACTGACATCATGGGCCTGCTAGCCATGACTTTTGAGCCGAAGTATTTAATCGATAGTTTTCTCTTTTCCTTCGCTGGGTGAGTTTTCACAAAGACCTCTCGGTAAATCAGCAAGTTGTGAAAGATATTCCACAATAACGGGCCATGGATGCAAACGATTTCAGAGGTCAGAGGCATAAGCGTAGCACTGGGAAAAAGGAACTCTAGCTCAGTGCTTTTCTCTGCACTTGAAGGTAAGCTAAGGACTTGTCGAATGGTAACAGTTGATTTTCGTATTTATTTTTAAATTTTCCAGTCAGCTTTTTAATGGCTTCAAGGACATTGGCGCTCCACCTTGCATCCTACATCAAACTGTTAATCAGTAGCTCTTGAATGATGTGTTCTTTTTATGTTACTTCTCTGTAAATAACCAGGTTTAAACGGGACAGTTGATCCCAGAAGAACAAAACTATGGACTATGGTAAAGCACAGGTGGTTACTCCAGAAAATCTTTCAGAAATCTGACGAGGAGTGTCTATGAGAGAACGGCCTTTCTTCTAGGGATCTTTCTAGAGAAAAACTGACCAATTAATTTGTTGCTGGTAGTTCTTGTCGATGCGCGATTACATTATAATGAATTTTTGGATAATACCCCAGTTATTCACTCCGTTCGCCTGTTCGTATTCTGGCACCCTTTGTTGTGCCAAATTCAGTTATTTATAGTTTTCAACCTGTTGAGACCGAGTGTCAACCACTATTGTTGCTAACCTGTGTCGTGGAGCGAGCGATATGCCTGAATAACATACATATTCGTGCAAACAGCATATGCACGAATACAGCCCCATCCTTTTTAACCCTCTTCGGGTGCTTAGTACAGAACAAGACAAAACCAGTGAACTGTATGGATTCACGCTGAATGTGGTTATCAAACTTGCGAAACCGTAACTTCCGAGGTGGAATTTCGTTGCCCATATGTATTCGAGCTCTGCTCTCATTTCTAGCGGGTACACGTGTCTATGTAGAATAAATCGGGTTCCAGTTGACCATGAACATCTTGTTTGACCTCACTAGATATGAAACGCCTTCATTCTGTGTTTCTACTTCACAGCTTTTGCGATCTGCTTTTCACACATGGCTGGTAAACATAAAGATGGCTCACACAGAGGTCTCGGTGCGTGGGAAAACAACACAACATCAACTGCTGAGAGCTGTATTTTCTGCGTGGAATTCGCAGGTTGCCGAGATTCGCCTGGAAAGGGAAATGGAAGAAGCAAGGCAACAAGATTATGAACTTACTTGGTGAGTTTTTCAGATGGATCAATCAACAAATTTTGGGTATCTCTGTGAACAAAAGTTGCCATAAGGTCGGGCTTGCACGGGCGTCGAGATGTATAAACTTGACTACTCATGAGACTACTCATGAAAATCCAAACTTATCGCAGTCCTCAAAGAAGACTTGAGATTAACCAAAACGTGAGAAAAAAATCTTGAAAATTGCTAGAGTCAAACCAAGAGTGGTTAGTTTGGTCTTGCCGATCCACTACACGTCTTGTTTCGATGGAATTTAGCGAGATAATGGTACGCTGCCACTCAGCAGCTGTCGACCTCTGTTATGTAGACAGGACAAATGACATCAGTATTGGGGTCAGTGGCTAACTTTGAACTGGAACAGTGGCCGATAGACTGCTTTCACATCCACCTGAATTATTTCAGCTGGGATGAAATGCCATCGATTTCTTCTGGTTCGTAGCTGAGACAAATCTTTGAGCTGAATTTGAAGCAGAAACCAACCTGGCTTCTTCGCAGGATGGAGTGTGGTTCCTTCGCTGCAAGCACTCTATTTTCTGGAGCGCCATCTAGCCCTGACTTCAACCAGTGGGTCGAATTCGACCCACTTAAATGAAAGCAAGGAAACATCACAATACTATAAATTGTGTTTCGAAAATTCGGATGGAAAGCTATCAGAAAGTTATGAAATGTGTTGGGACGAATCGGTGTACCAAACCTACTACTGAGGTAGCAGTTTTAGGATGCGTGGAAATGGATAATCGGATATATCATTGTTAATGCTGCCCTCTAAGTAGATTTTGTCTTTCCTGACTTTCAGTGTGGTTCACTACTCTTTGTTTAAAAAAAGCCAATTTATTCGGGTTAACGAACTTGCCTGAATGGGTTTCAATTAGCTTCGTTACATCTTGGGCTCAGGCTTGTCACGTTAGCCTCATACTCGAAATATTTTTCACCTTTAATCACATAGCTCTCTATCTTTACTCTAACCCCCATTTTCTGAAATTCATTTGAGTTGTATGGTCGGTGGTTGGTGGCTCTGGATCGACTCGTGTAATTCAGTGATTCATCTAACATTTGTGCGTTTCTGCAGCAATCATCTCTCTATTAGCGGTCCGGAGTTGATCTATTCAATGACTTTTTAATTTCTAAGAAGGACAGGATCTATTGACTATGATTGATGGTCACATAGATCTCAATCCCAACTTATACACTCTTTTCGAGAAATACACTCATCTGCAACTCAATTTGGTTTTCACGAGAGACTCAACTGAATCTCTCCTTTATGATATTCTACAACTGAATGTGCTGCACACAGGCCGCCTCATGATTCAGTTGACACGATATTCGAGATATCGCAGTATGTTTTCATAAGGGAAACTACTCACAAGTTTGCTGAAATATCATAAGCAGTTGAGTCCCTCTTGAAAACCAAATTGATTTGTAAATGAGTGTATTTCTCGAAAACAGTGCAATTTGGGTTCAAGTAAAACACAAGATTGACGGAAACTCGGGGACTGCGCCTACCTGATGAGCCCCAAGAAGAGCGAAACCGGTCGTGGGTTGTCCAAGGGACTGCGTCTACCTGATGAGCCTCAAGAAGGGCGAAACCAGTCGTGGGCTGTCGAAGAGTTTTTAGCAACCTTGTGAGTAGTTCCCTTTATGAAAATTGTACACTCTTTACTTAACTCGTTACTCGTCACAGTAATGAGTGTTTGCCAGAAATTGCTTACCAAACCATAGCAGTTAACTAGTGGTGCGTTTGATTAACATGGTAGCTCGGTTGCCTCATTGACTGGTCAGTCCTCGCTGATCGCTGTGAACAGTGTGGCATGCACTGGTGTCACACGATTACTGCAGTGTACCCAAAATCAAAAATGGTTCGTCGTACTAAGCTAGCATCTCAGTTACGATTTTTTAAGGACAGCCTGGAAGTTAGAAGCTTGGCCATACTTTGGAGGAACAAAAAGTCGGTTCCTTGTGGTCTTACTAAAGTGCAGATTATTGAAACTGCTAATCAATCACACGTGGTCAAATGGTTAAATGACCAACCACTGGGCGGAAGATTGTATGTTCTCAAATTTCTGAATTTCGTGAGATGAACATTGTTGGTAAGTCCCACAAATGTGAAACAGCTGCACAGTACTTCTCAGATTTCCGCCATGCAGTGGCTTTACTGACAAGAAGAATCTACATTGAAAATTACCAATTCTCTTCACATCACTATTACAAATAAGAATCGTTAGGATGATCGAAAGCCACATTCATCCCAGAACTCAATCTTGAAACTCCAAAGTTGGTCAACCGAATGGGTCACGACGACCACCCATCGAACCATGACTGAACGCCTTTTGAAGCGACATGAAGGTTTCGAAAATGACCTATTCTTGGGCGAGCAGTCCTCTGCAACCATGTATTCGACGAGTATTTCGCAGCGTCATCAGCTGTCCAAGAGAGTTCAACTGCCGTTTCAGCTTTACTAACACTGGAAGCCTGCCCTAAGATACACTTGAGTAGCAATCTGAGTAGTGTGGAATAGTTACTCGTGTTTCAGATATAGTTCACTTCTTGCTTCAGATTTGTCTCACGCCGCTATTATTAGAACTGTAGGGACACCAGTGCTTAGCTCCTTGATTCAGATTTGAGGTGGATTTATGTTCATCATTATGCCGTATTTGCCACTAGAAATATTACCGAGCTTCACTCCTGGAGTTAAAAGTTTACCGTGGTTCGCTGCGTGCACGCGTTCTAGTCTAATACATTAGCAGCAATATTGTCAACTTGTCTCTCTACTGTCCATAAAAAAACTGGCACCTAACGTTCCATCTTTTTATTTTGGATCCCAGGGGTGAAACGTCAGCTGTAGAGTTTCATCAGAATTTGCTGAAACGCCAAATGTTCCGAATCTGGAAAGCCAACGTCCGAGGAAGAAAGGTAAGCTTCACCATCATGTACGTGACCTTGTTAGGATATGCAAGGAATTCTGGCCACCGTCCAGAGGTTTGTTCCCTAAGTTGACTATTGTAGGGAGTGGGTCTTGCGAGGCAGTTTCCCGATTAGACAGCCTGACCTTCCATTATACCAAGCGTATTGGCGCCTAAGTAATTCAGTTTACTTATTGTACCGACTTTTGCGGTCGCTGTTACTGCTGTGTCCCCCAGATGTATGCCTCCTGTTGATCCGTCGAAATCTATAACGGTTCTCTCAGTTCTCTCTCCCTCAACAAGGACAAATGTGCGTTCCTCAATGGGTCAGTAGAGGCACAGCTTAGTCTCTGATTCGGCCTCGTCAGGACTCTTGAAGACAAGAGAAGGTCACTTGAGGAAATTGCACCTGCATTAATTACCATCGCTGCTTCTTTGCAGCTAAACCACCCTTGCGTCTCTACCTTGATTAATCTACGAGATTAGACCTGGTATTCTTGCACCAATAGTGATAGAGTTGGTGCATACTGAGCAACTTGTAAGTAGTGTAGAATTAGACAAAATGAAAAGCCCTTTTATCCCTGGAAGCAATGTATTTAAATAAAATGTACCCAAACCCATGAATTCTACAAATAAGTTTATTATCTTCTTTAGATTCCCGCTCGCAATTTCATTCACGCATTCAGTTTAAAGCAAACTAACTAAATTTCACTGTTAGCGAGCTGGCTTCTCTTCATAGTGGTGTAGGGTTCCCGAGAAGACGTGATAGTTCCAGTTCGAACCTGGATCACATCATCGCCCAAAAACGGAAAAGTGCAAAAACATTTTGAGATAATTTCACAATACAAGAATCCGTGCCCATGAACCTATGAGCAGCTTACGTACCGATTCATAAACAGCCGAGACAATGTAGGTGCCTCTACCGTCTTCAGTCAATGAACAAAGTGAACACGTTCGCCCGTTCAGACGTGAAAATTCAGATACGTCCAACGTGCGTTGGTGGAGTAGTTGTTACACGCCCACCTCGCATGTCAGATGTTCAGGCTTCAAATCCCGGCACGGTCACTGGATATGCACTGTTGATGAGCTCTAATAAGAGCGAACCTCGAGTCCAGTGTTTCCCCTCGGTGCGGACTCACCGGAATTATTATACCAGAGCAGGAGGACGACCGTTCAGACGAGAGTGGTGTGACCATGAACAATGTTCGAATAATGCGCTCGATCTGTATCTCAGTTAAACAAAGTGCCTTCTGTAGACTTGTTATTAATAGCTGTTAGGCTATTGTGCTCTGTAACGCCAACGATCTCGTTGGTTTAGCATAGATTTATATGTTATCAGCTGATGGCACTGAAGTGAGCGCGCTGAGTGTTGTGAGCATAACTTCATGAAATTTACGCCGAAATATTGGATTCTTTAAAAGACACCGATCTAAACGCAGACATACTGAATCATCTAGGTCTTGGTGTCCCTTAGAACCGAAGACGGTACAACTGGTCTGATACAGTGCCAGTCACCTTGGCAACAGGACAAGTGCAGTGCAGCGTCCCACTTTAAGCGCCGAGTGAGCGAAGGCAAACCCGATTTTGTGAGGTCTTTGTCGGATCACCATTGTGGCGAAAGCGCCCATTCGTTGTTGAATCTATTTCATGATACTAGTTCACCCACAACAGCATACCCTGTGATCAATGAGTTTCCCTTCTCTCATCCTCCAGTCTACCAAGATTATTCACTCACGCTCCCCAGCTGATAGGCTGTGGTACCCACTCTGATGTTCAGATGCATTCTCAACCCTAAGGCGACTTGGATACTTGAACAATAAAGCGCTACTCTGTGCTCCCATACACCTAACTGTATCCAGCATCAGCCAAGCCTAAATGGTCCACAAGATTGCCTTCAGTGGATCTTCTAAATAAGTGGTCTTGTGTTGCCGTCCTATTGTGACTAACTGGTTCACTAGATGAAAATATAAACATACAAAGTTATGCCTCAATAAAATGAGTTCATCAATCCTTCACTAACTAAGTTTCTCGTTCATAAAAACAAAAGGTTCATATCACCATAAAAATCAATACTTAGCTCTGTGCACAATGCCTTCAAGAAGTGAAACGAAGTGAAACAGCGAGACGCCTCTTCCGTGTTTTCTAGGCCCGTCGAATCCTAGCAGAGCGTGAGGAACTACGACGTCAAAAAGAGACCGAATTTTTGGATCGACTACACAGCTGGGCAAGTACACCACGTTCGCATCACGGCCACGGAGTGCACACGCACGATTTCGACAACATGGATTTGACAAAACACAAATCAGTGAGTGCAGATGGCTATCCTATCTCCCGGAATCGATTGCGAATTGCATAATTTGCTCCCTTTATTAAGCCATCCGTTTTGCTAAGTGATTATAGCCTGGTGCACGTGGAGAATCTGCAGTAGGTTCCTCAGTTTGAGTGCTTTTTTCTATTAAGCCCACCAGGCCCTTCAATGCACGAGTCTTAGGTAATCTTAAACTTCCTCTTGGTGTGAACAGAATTTGAAATTCTCACCAGAGACTTCGTCCTGCAAAAAGCATTTGCTGAAAAGCTGAGAGGTACTGCAAACTTGTTTCATCCTCATTGAGGGTCATCAGCAGTGCGGGTCTCGCGAAATTCCATTACGAAGTCTGGATCACCCGAAACTCCTCTGTTCGGTCAGGAACGGATGGTCTTTGATTAAACTTTTTTCATCCTCATTGAGGGTCATCAGCAGTGCGAGTCTCGCGAAATTCCATTAGGGAGTTTGGATCACTCGAACCTCCTCCATTCGGTCACGAGCGGATGGTCTTTAATCTCCATATGACTCGGAGCTGACTCAGCTTTCTCAAATCACTCCGGAGAACGGATAAACCTTATTGGTGTATAAATCATTCATTGAGAACAAGTTTCAGGCCTATAGGTTCATGCGATAATTGCAGGAAACAAGGTGGTTAGACCGCTCACACAGCATCACTTCGAATCAAATGGGGTCCAACAAGCTGTTTCTTTTTTACTGTTAAAAGAAAGGAAATACTGATGAACGTAGTTGGTTTTCAAGGAAACAAATCGCAACTCGGGAAAGCATTTTTACCGTAGCTTCTCCACGAACATGATGGTGCCTTGGATAACATGGAAAAACTCTACTTAGATTTGGTCGAACAGCGATTTTGAAAACCGAATACAGGCATCTTCCTGCAGCATGAGATTCTGAACAACAGTGTTCGCAAAAGGGATTGTTGAGCCTGAGGAGAAAAGATGGCTTTATACGATATTCTTCGTGTGTGTGCTATTTTAGTGACCTGTCCAGGTCTTGTTCACAGAAAAATTTCACAGCAAAACAGTCTCTCTACCTGGCAGGAATGGAGGACCCACTTTTGTAAAAACTGGAAGTTAGAAGCCAGTGAGTCTGGTTCTAGTTATGAGCCATTGCAGTGAAACGGAAGCCACACAGATGGGATGTTGAATCTATATAGGTTTTATGAACTACTGACCAAAGTCAATAAAGGCACCATTTTCAAAACTGATGAACAGTAACCTCCAATTGATATTGACCTCGCAGCTTCAACTTTCATTTTCTATTTCACAGGAATCCGCCCAACGAAATGATGGACGATCAGCTGACGAACGCTCAAAATTGTCATCCACAGTGTGCCAACAGCGCCAGAAAATCGCCGAACAGCACAGAGAAATCGAAAAGCTCAAGTTGGAAAAGCGTCAAGCAGAGCTGCTGTTGGAAGCAAAGGAACGAATGTTGAGGGAGCGCTCATTAATTCAGGTTTGTGTTTGGGTTACTCATTTTTCCGTACACCATAGCTCGCCTTGGCTTTGGAATGAATTCGTTGTATGAAGGATGACCGCACCTTCATCAGATGCCAAGTGGTCAGGTCTGATTTACTTGAATCAGGACTTCCACACGCCTCCGAGGCAAGACCATCCAAATTCCACAAGAAACTCTTTGCGGACAAATCCGCATGAGATCGTAGGCTTTTGTTGTGAATCCTTTAAGTCATGGGTGAATTCTGAGCACAAAGCCCAAAGTTTCACCCAGAGATCCACCTACTCTACTCGTCACGTATTGCAGTTGTCACTTCCGAGCCAAATGTATTCAAAACCTTACTAGATTGCCAGTTCCTTATGAGATTTCATCACTTCGGAAGAATGGTGGTGAGCACAGTTGGTTCAGGTTTAGTTCAACCGACGTGCACCGAAAAGGTTCTGGTCCCACTTGCCATGCTTTTGTCACACTCTGACTAAGTGACAATGAAGAACTAACTGGTACGACCCCAATGTGGATTCTTTTATGATGATAGGAGGTGGTGAATACTCTAGTGGTCTCAACAGACACCTTATGTTCGCAATTCGTTGGAAAACCGGTGGTTCCTGAATCCCTACTGGATGTTGATCTAGTGGTTGTTGGGGAAAGGGAGCTTCCCACCAGACAACAGGAACGCGAAATCACTGCGGTCGACTTTCGCTAGTCTCCATGAACGAAGTTCAGGACAAACACCGGTTCCACTGGAACCACACGCACTTGTTGGCCCAGGCATGAAAATCAAAAGGAGTGAACCCGTTAAAGTTTGGTACTCCATCGATGAAACTGGCAACATAAGTCAACACTGACTCAAGCCACAAACCCTCAGGAGGATGGAAGTCCGGAAGTGAAAAGCTCAAAACAGCATAATAAACCAGAGGAGGAACAAGTTTCACCAAGAATTTGGGAAACCCCGCCCGATACCCTTCGGTTTTAAACTATTCACATCACTGTTCTACATCCTGATAAAAAATGACTGAGGATCCGGATATATCATATTTTAAAAGTCGCCGTATATACCCTCCCTTCTGATTTCTGGTTTCCCTTTGGGACTGAAAGAAAAAAATCCAATAGCCGTAATACATTAACCATAAGGTTTCTGAAAACTCTCCGACAGCCCACGACAGGTTTCGCCCTTCTTGGGGCTCATCAGATAGGGACAGTCCTCGAGTCTCCGTTAACCTTATGTTTTACTTGAACCCAAATTGTACGAAATTAACGAAACGCACTAATTTGCATAGTGATTTAGTTTTAACGGGAGACTCACCTGGAACCCACCTGAATCCCTTGTTTATGTTGTTTTTAAGCAGCTGAGTGTGCTGCATCAGGCAGCCCCAAAAAATTATAAACAAGAGGTTTACTTGGGTTCCAAAACCAGATTTGTTCTCAAATAAGTGCATTTCACTAAAAATCATTCTGTTTATCAAATTCTTTAAACACGTACCGGGCTTCTTTGGGATTGTCTAACACACCCTGTTTGGTTTTATTGTCCGCCAACATGAGCTTTCCAGGGCCACCCGTTTACATGTCCCGTTTACATTCACGATTCAAACTGATGCTCAGTATTCCGTAAATTTATAGAAGCACACATATCTTTTATTCTGTCCGATTGTTAGTAAACGACGCTACAGTTGCCATGCACTGTAGACAACAACTTCCCCAAGCTCTAAATGCCTTTTTCTCACACTACACTCGTAGTTTGTCCGAAATTCTCCCTCAAATGACACGAAATGGGTGAAACTTCTTAGTTTTTCGTTCGTTATAGTGAAATCTGATTGAAGTGCTCGGTAAGTGTTGGCCTATTCGAAGATATCCCGCGGATGGGCGACATTATTATTTTCCTTAAATTCTATACACAGTGCCACAGTCGGCCATTCATCATGTTAGATTCTTATCCATGTCACCTTTTTTTGTTTTCCGCCATCGTAGTGATGCCCTCCTTGTGGACTTCAAAAGGAAAGAGGAACATGATTATTCTAAGTGTTTTGTTGACTACATGATCAAACGAGTGGCAAGAGCAAGCGATTGGCAAACTTTACCACCAGGCCTAAGAAAAGTCACGTTAGTGGTGAAGAGACTGAAAGTAGAACCCGCCGAATGACGGTGGTGCTGTTTCAAAAAACACATCAATATGACTATGATTCCAATTAATGGATGACTTCTCCGGCTACACAGTGGCCCTGCATGTGTACATCCCAGACGCAATTGTACACACCAACCTGCTTACGATAAGCTGGCAACATAATCGCCAGAAGGCGCTATTCAGTTGTCATCAGGGGAAAACAGTTTTAGTGTTCGTGGCCCCAAACTAACAATACAACGAGCCAGGTTGTGGTATGCGCACCAGAAATGTTATCCCTGCTCATCTGGCAGACCTTACCCTGACTAAGCATGGGGGCACTGATATATACGTTTGGAAATTTTGCCAAAATCAAATCGTTTCAAGGAGGAAAAACGCTTTGTGAAGAATATTTCCATGTTAGACTGGAATGTCCTACTGATGAAGCCAAATCAAAGCATGCCGAATGATTCCGAGTCTGCCATGATAAGCGGATGTGAAATGTGTACTGGCTGTCCTAGCCAAGTTTGGGCTCATCAGACACTCGAATGGCGACTTACTGCCTTTGTTCAAATGAGGGCTACACTCACCCGTGTCACCTCTGTACAAACCTGCAGTAACCTATTCATTCCTTCCACGGCAGTCAATACTCTCACTTGTTGGGTAGCAAAATCTTCAGAGCGGTTGGGCGAGGCATAATAATCAAATAACTGAACTTCTTTCTGGCTACCCATCACTAGACAGTCGTACTCAGTGGAAAAACGTCTACAGACAAATGAGACTGACAAGCATGTTATGGCAACCTTGCCGTTCGTTGACAACATGGACGAAACCGATCCTTGGAGTTTAGACAACCCTGACACTTACAATCATCATCGTCATCATCATCATCATCATCACCATCCTCACCAGTAGCATCGGCCGCATGAGAATTCAGCACCGCCTTACCATAACTGGTTTGAAAATCCTATTGTAGAGAAAAGAATAACATTGGATAGGAAAGGGCCCACTACTAGCCTACCACCATTATACTGAGCTACTTGCACTCTTTCAGAAAATCTGAATGGAAGCTGATAGCAATGACGCTACTACTAACTACCTGCTCAGCGCTTCCACCCATGCATACGCGGGATCATGCGGATCACAGCCTATAAGACCAACCGCACCCATATCATCCAGGCTTCCCGCAATCACTTTCATACCCCTCAACTGGGTCAACAGTTGACCACCTCTCTGCTTACGTTTTATCTGATTCGGGCAAGGAAAACAACAATCCTTTTGGCAAAAAAATTATTCCGCATGCGCAACCCATCATCATACGACGCACCTCTTGGAGCTTGAGACATTCATCTTTCGAAGTCCATGTTGAACAACAGAACACTCGCTTCCCACATGTCTGTTTCCGGACTCTCCGGCACAAGCATACACGAGCAATCGCTCTGAAACAACGGTCATCGAAGCTCTGAAGATCCCAGTCCCGATGCTCGCAAATGCGGCTTTTCAGTTGATAGATTAGTCTAAACGTGAGGTTTCTGGTCCATTTTCTGATCTTTTACATCATTTCAAGGTAAAAAGCTTCCACCCAGTTCTTCATTTTGCCTATACTTTCAGTTGACCTCCGCTTTTAGTCTGAATATGCTCCGTGTACCTATCTCAAATAAATGTCACTAAGGCCAACGGGCGGACCGGTGAACCAAAGTGGGTCACCAGATTTACCCTTACTTTTTGCATTAGACACACTGAGGAAGTCAACAAATTGATGACAGTCCACCTGCTTTGCACTTCTCTATTAGTCTTGTTCTTATAATCCCTGTATGAAAACATTCTCCCGGTGTCAAAGAATTTGTCTGTTCACGTTCTATTATCCCAAATAACTTACGCCAGATTTAACCAAAACTTGGGGAGTTAACAAAATCGGGCTTACCTTGAGTGCAGTCTTCCCAACTCAGTTCTCTTTAGTTCAAATCAATCTGATTGCATACACACAGTTTCCTTCATCAACTTGATTCCACTACAGTTAGTTAGTGCTGAGTTACATTTGTACGTCCTTCGTCTTCGGCAGTTTTAAATACTGGTTTGTGGTAACAAAATCTTTACGTGTCCTCTTTATTCACAAACTTTTGTTAGGCAAGAAAAGGACCACTTCGACAGGTCCCTCACCTGAAATCCGGGACCATGGAATGCCGAAAACATCAGAGTCTAACTTACAATTCGGCAGCATCTTCGCCAAGACCATATGAGACGGATTTCGCCAGGTGTGTTACGTACATCTACTTTAGTTCTCTCTTATTTGTAAGAAAAATGACAACTGAGAAGCAGCGTCTAGATGTGTCAGTCATATTAGTCCCCATCTAATGAGAAACACTTAAACGAGCAGAAAAATAGATTTAGTTGTTCGGTTACAATTAATTGTGTCATCACCATTTGTTGATTTACACCATCAGTTTTTGGGACATTTCACAGCACACTGCTTTTCTTGATGGGACTTTTTTTGTTCCTTCTGAAACTGGTCTATAGCTCACGCTCCATCCCAAAAGCTACCGAAATGTCTTGTGGTCAGACTGGGAAAGGTGAAAACGACACAGCAGCGGTTACCAGAACTGTCCAGAAGAATCCGTTCTTGATTCGTAAGTGAATGTTTCCTGCTTTCGTTTGTGTTTGCTTGGATGATCTAATGAAATTTAGATCACGATTACTTAGTCCGTTGACTTTCCTGTAAATATCTGTTGTGTTCAACCTCATCATCACCTTTCATCCTCGTATCAAATATCAGTCATCCTAACCCGGGTGTATGGGTGACATTTTTTCTCCGAAATCCTGGTGTGCAAATAATCTGTGAAGAAAACCTTGTCGACCTGGGGTACGTAGATGACATCGTTCTTATCTTCGAAAAGGGGGAGAAGGCTCAGGTGTTTTTGTAAATGAACTGACCAAAGTCATTCCGTCCTTTGGTATGCACTTTGCACCCACAAAGTGTAAGGTCACGCTCGTGGACATGCAGTCGCTGAACACGCTACTCACAATCCAGGAAAAGATACTGGAAGTTGTGGAGCGTTTTACTTATCTCGGAAGTTGTATTAGTGCTGATTGTAGTGTGACAGATGAGGTAAATGCACGAATCTGCAAGGCTCGCGTCACGTTCGCTAATTTGACACCTATGGCGTCAGAGTGGTTTATCCCTGAATCTCAAGGGGGGCACCGAGGACAATTAACCTTCCTTCGATGTCCCTACCAATGCGGTGCACCGTTTGTTTCTCATGGGACTCCGACGAAAGAAGATAAACATAATCATATGGCACCTGTCTCCTCAAATCAGATTTTCCCAGAGCCAACTCGACCCGCGTGGATTTCGATGACCAGTTTGAGCTAAACTGTGGTCAGGTCCGAGCACTAGTTTACCAACACACATCTGATTTGTGTGGGAGGAACGGGCAAGCAACCTCTTATTTAAGAGTTTCAGGCTCTTTCTCATTGTACCATAGGTCTACCGGTCAGCTTCTACCACTGGGAACCTATAGTTAGTTTGATTTGAACTAATTTCTGACTCGCTGTACTGGTCATAAGATTGGTGGAAACCTTGGGAATCTAACCACTGGTTTCGCCCTTCTTGTGGCTCACTAGGTAGGCCTGGTCCTCTTGTCTCCATCAGCCCCATTTCCTACCTGAGCATCAAATCGTTCTTATGGGACAATATGCACTAAATTACAAATGATCTTGATGAAATTTCTCATCTGTGTTCTTCTTCAAATGAATGTGTCAGACGCCACCGCATGTTACCAACTTATTGAGACAATCAGCTTACTGGTGGCCAATTTTTGGGAGCTGTTATGTGAAAAGGTGTTACAGCTGAACAATTATCGTCATATTACGTAGTATTTTAACCATACACCGGTAATCGAATTGCTGACCAAATTCGTCAACAGCTGAACCATATTTAATCATCTCGGCAAGAAGTTCTCGCAACCGCTGAGAAGGAACCCTAAATAATGTATGGAATGGGCGAAATGCCTTCATTTTGCAGGAGACTCATTTGGAACTCAGCTGAAAAAAACACATCATAAACGGGAGATTTAGCTGGGTTCCTGATGAGTTTGCCGCAAAACCAAATTGGTTTTAGAATGAGCGTATTACGCTAATTTCGTTCACTTTGGGTTCCAGTGGAACGTAAGTTTGACAGAAACTCGGGGACTGTACCTACCTGATGAGCACAAAGAAGGGCGAAACCAGTCGTGGGCTGTCAGAAATTTCAGCAACCTGATTAGTAATTTAATAATCCATGGGATATTAAATTTGCCTGATGGAGACTGTAACAGAACACTATGCCTCCCCCACTACAGCGTCTCTCAAGTTATGGAGTAATATTGCTCCCTTGGAGGAGGGGCTGAAGCAAAGTCAGAGATGATGTGACATACAGGAGTGATAAAAAAACATGTTTACTTTTGTAGACACGTGATCAGATAAGAGTCCGTTCAGCATCTCGCTTCGGGTTACTATCCCAAAACCATCCAGATGGTCGTCTCTGCATTATCATCCACAGAACTATCCGTGTACATGTTCGCTTAGCACAACCAATTTGTGGGTCTTTGCGCTAGTTCATACAAACCAGGACGTTCTGAGCTTGTTTCTGATCGAAAGCTGTTAGGTTGTCGTGGAAGTCGGGCTTCAATCTAGAAAGGTCCCTGCATATTATACTATTCCATACATTTCGACGTTCTGAGCTTGTTTCTGATCGAAAGCTTTTAGGTTGTCATGGAAGTCGGGCTTCAATCTAGAAAAGTCCCTGCATATTATACTATTCCATACTTTTTGACCTCCCGGAATCATTTGTCGTGGAAGTCGGGCTTCAATCTAGAAAGGTCCCTGCATATTATACTATTCCATACATTTCGACCTCCCCGAATCATTGGTGAACGAAACTGTAAGACAAGTGCGCGGTTATTGCAGCTAACATTGATGATGACGATGATGATGATGATGATGATGATGATGATGATGATGATGATAATTTTCGACCATACGTGGAGGGCCAAAGGAGAATTGTCTACTGAAGGGTAGCGAGTCTCCATACTACGAGAAATCTCATTACATAGAGTGCTGGAGATAAATTCGTTCTGTTCATTGTGACAGGAATGTGAGAGTGATAGGTTCCAAAAGTCGATCACCAGTTTCTTACTTATAGAAACGGTGATGCTGCCTACCCCAGAGAAACAGTGGGTGAGAAGTATTCATCCCTGGAAACCTCATATTCCAACCGCTTAAAGGATGGCGGTGACTGCCGGCGTACTTATCAATGCAGCCAAAAAAACAACTAAACCTTGCTTCGAGGCCAACTTTTCGCGAAACCTATCTACTGTGCACGGCAGCATCAAAAATATGGTGTGTTTACCTTACTGTCCGTGCCCTGACGCCAGACCAGTCGCCCGCAGTCACTTTGGTCATACTAATGAGCCATTGGCCCCTGGATGGTCTCCTCAGAGGAACAGTAACAACGGCTGCCTCGAGGCTTGGACGTTTTCGTCACAAGCTATCTGAAGCTGGTGATATCCACAGAGCTGAAGTTGTACCAAGTTGCAGGGCCGAGGTGGACTCCAGCAAATAGCCATCACTGCTCTGTACGTTTGAGTGGCTCAGTTGAGATCACTCCATCTCGATATCGTTGTTTTTGTTTTGTCAGCTTACTCTCCCACACACGATGGCTCAGAGGCTGAGAAAGACAGCTTCTATCGATACTTGCCAGGAATGTCTAGGCCAGCATGAAGTACAGATACGGTGCTTCTGGCAAGTGATATGAATGCCAAGGTTGGTCGATGCAGGATCGATGCTCACCTCACAGATAACAGGGAAGGACTTCTTCAGTTATATGGTCAACATTAGTATACCAGCACAAACTTTCAGCACTAGCTTTGACATTGTGTTACCCGGAAGCTGCCAACTGCTAACCAGCCGTAGACTGAATCCGACCAGGTGGCAGTTAGCTACCGGTGCAAGGCATCAATTAATTTTGGAGAACAGCACTTGACACTGTCCACGATACTGTGCTTTCACACGTGCCCATTTGCTTTCCCCCTGATACGAGCTGGTTAATGCAAGGTTATTCAGTTCACCATCTGGAAAGTGTCTTTATAACTGAACAACTATCGAGTGGGGTTACCTGAAAAGGTTTCAGAGTGAAAAAGGCACCATGACAGCGATAATTATCGTCCCACAGATCCCGAAACCGTCTGCCCCCGCTGACTGATATACCCCGCGAGCAGCAGTTGTGATTGACACCAGCAACGGCTGGGATGGTCAACAAACGTCCCTCAAACACCGAATGGCGAAAAGCTTAAGGACTGACAGATAAGCCCGTGGGAAGCATAGGCCCAAGAAATAGCGCAGGCTTTTGCAACGTCAACTAATTCGACCAACCGAACCAATCTCCAAAAGTGCACATACTGTTTGCCGTTGGTTTGTCCTAAAATTCGATCTGAACATTTAATTGGGAAAGTTTTAACTGTCTTCCGTAGGAAGCTTGCGCATGCTACCCATATCAAATCAAGTGGTAATTTCCCTCTAGAATTTGGCCGTTTCCCGTATTTAGGTGCTTCAGTCGCTATCTGACCCTGTTGGATTAAAAGCACTTTTACTTTCAAGCAACGAGCCTTAAAATGACAGGATGCTGAAGGGCACAACAGCCTGGTTTAAAATGGTCAATTAGAGTTTACGATGGACATGCTTCGGGATACCTTCAGGTTCCTAACTTAAAAGTAGAGGCATCCCGGCATGGCAGAAAAGCAGGCGGGCTTAAGTGAAAGCAGTCTCATTGGAGTGGATGATCACCCACACGCCAGTATCCTCGCGGAAACTTCCAAACTACTTTCATGCGTAGCACACTAATTTTCGGGAGCAACGTAGGATTCGTTGAATCTCTGCAAGAAAAATAAATATATACCTTTAGCTGAAGTGCTTTCTGTACAGAGCCGGTTACGGTTAAATTTTGGCAGAAAGTTCTCATTGCTCATTGCAAGCAAATGCTACAGACCGACCCCACAAACTCCGTAATAGATCTCACTTTCCAAGAGACGCAAAGCAGATTTACGAGAAAACATACTACTCACATGCCCCAATCAGTAGCATCACCATTACACTAGTATAGTTGGTCTTTAGCAGCAGGGATGCTCCTTCCCTAAAGGAACTAGGCCAACTATAAGGGGTAGTTTCTAACATCCAAACTCACAGCAATACCTTGCACACTGCTTATATCTCCTGTCTGCCTACGTTCATTACTCTTTAAATTAGATCATTTGTTCCACTGCAGGCATGGAAGAACAGGCAGCTAAAAGAGCCGCATTACGTGCAGAACGTGAAGAACGCCGACGACTGGCAGAAGAGAAAAAGAGGGTAAGTATATTCTATTGAAGCCATCTTGATATGCTTTCATAGCAATCAGTCTTGTCGGTGGAGTTATCTAGTCTAATCCACCACACACACAATCCATACAAAGTACCGCTGGGTTCGTCTTCGTCCTTGAGGTTTCATGACAACGTGTCCAGAAAACCACCTTTTTTCGGTGCATAAACTCATCCATCGCTTGGTCCTGCTTAGACTTTTTTGTCGGTTCAAACGTCCAGTGATCCCACCCTTACTCAGCACTTACGTCCTGGCTGGCTTGATTTGATTTTTCAACTTTGTCAATAGAACTAAGGAACCTAAATGTCTGGCTGCTAAGTTCTCAAGAGTAATGATCTACCTAACAAGAGGCACTTCAGCAGACATAGCAGAATGTTGGCTATTGTGGACAGTAACTAACCGTGTATTGCGAACCCTCCAAGCTAAGCACTCGTTCTGTGCACTTCCATACTTTGAAATGCCTGGTAGAGCATTCCACCCAGTTATGTATGTTTTTCGGTTATTGTCCTCAAATGCTATCTAAGCTGTCCGAATGTGCGTGTTTGTTTACATTCATAAGAACCTTGAAGTATTCGTAGTCGGCCGAGAGTGAAACACTTCTCTTTCAGTCTGTTGACTTCACAAACAGATGTTGTTCAAATAGCCTGTTAGATGAGGTGTTGATCAAGAACCAGTGCAGTGAAATCGAAAACGGATGTTGGGAGGCAACTCTGATACAGTTGCAGTCAAAAGTTGGAGACCAAAACACTGACAGATGCGAAGTTCCACAAAATGTCTTCTCAAAGACGGTCGAGGCTTCTGGAGACTATTTCTAACTGGGCTGGCTGCTCAGAGCACCACTAGAGTAGGCTTTTGGTAGAACCGCAATGGGAGCAAGGCTAACCCGACAGTGAAAGTCAGAAGAGAAGCGTCATACTGGTTTCATGTGAGATACTTCCGAGGCTCTGCAACGTGCAAGGTAGAAATGACCATATCCCGTTCTGGTTCGAAACTAGCTACTTTAAATCTTTGAGTAGTGCAAGAGCGTAGATATACACGGATACCTGAACCCGTAACGAAGCGTCGAAACTGGACGCAGATTTTCAAGCGCTTAAAAAGTCTGTCCACATGTGTATCCGACAGATTAAAACAAATATCCTTCCAATCGTTCGCTCCAGGAAGAAAATGCCAGGCAATTGGAAGAAGAAGCCCGGCGGTTGAGGGAGGAGAAGCAAGCACTTCTTCAAGCGCGTAGGACAAAACAATTGGAAGAAGAGAGAGTGAGCATGTGTCATCCATTTTACACCACTTTATTTGAGCAGACGGTTATAACGTCGGTCAGTGACGCGCTTTAAACGTTTTACGCACATATATCTATCCGAAAGTGAGACACCATGTTGTGGTCTGTCTTACTCATTCTGAGGTTCACTAAGAATAATAAGTCATTACACATTTAGATCCGATTCATTCAGCAAGAGTTCAGCAATTTTTCGACGTCAAACTGCCCTGGTTAATTCGATCCTCAATCATACGCCAACAACCATCTACTAAGGGTGGTAGACCACCAGTAACTCTTCTGTTTTATTCAATGGTCCGGCTGAAAACACACCGGTGATGTTCAAAGTTAATGATGTGAAGGTACTGATGGGCTTTGACTCTATTTTCACTAAATCTAGTCATCGTTTTATCAGATAATCGATACTTTTACTCAAGTCAACCTCACGTCAATGTTACTCACAGGGAAAGTACCAACACCGTGGTGGTCCACGGTATCCTCAAGGTCCATGGTCCTCAAACTCATGGATTAGAATGCCGGTCCCGCGCACCAGAACCCCAGAGATATCCCCAATGATGAACTAGTCTCGTTTTTTCCAAACGCGGCGAAATATCATCCTTCAACTAGTTTATTCATCTTTGGCTTTTTGTAATCAAATGCATAAACGTAGGTGCTCACAGCCATCCTCTTCATCCCATTCGGATTATGTGGTTGCAAGCAGTTCCCATAGAGTTGATTATAACAGCGATATGATCGTTGTCAGGACGCGTTCGGAATGAAAAGTACGTATACAGAGTACGATGCGTCGTACAGGTCATCATCTGTGACCACACGATTTGGATGGCAGGCGCATGAGCGGAGCTCACTAAACTCAGCATGGCAACGTGCGACCAGTGGAGGGGGCGCGAAACTGGTCAAGGCGGGAACGTCCTCATTGTTTGAACATGAAGGAACAAGCAAGTAACCATATTTGGCCAGTTAGCCATCCTATATGCTTACACACCCGCTCTGTGTGTCTAACCTACAGTACAGCAGCATTTTTGGTCTTCTGTCTTGGCCTTATCACGTTCTCACGTTACAACAGTCATCCAGTACATTTTCTGGTGCTCAATTCTTGCAAGAACCGCCAGCTGGAAGTTTTGTTCTTCCTGACCTCTAGACCCCGACAGGGCCCTGAACTTGCTTTCTAGGGAATAGGTCAATATAGACGTTCAACTTTATGCCAAAACTTACATCATTCTTCACCTCCCTGAATTTCTTCCCAATCTAGTCAGCAGTTCCGCACTGTTATGGTATTCTGTCTAATCCTTTTGGTCAACATCTTCCGTCTTTAAGCCGTCTAAGCCTCATGATCTAGATCATATGCCCCATGTCTCATTATGTACCTGTAATTTAGGACGCGCTCCTGGTTTTGTTCTCTTATATTGAAAAACTGCTCACGCTTTATCTAGTTTTGAGCTTAACTCTTTGTCCAGCAGTAGCAAATATCACAACATCACTGTCAGTCCAGTTTCGTCCATAGTTATGAAATCAGCTATCTCCTGAGTGATCACCAAAAGAAATTTGGCGACATGATCTCCTGAAGAGCTCCCGCTCGGCATGTCACACGTATCGCAATTTACCCTCACGTAGTTTGGTGAAACCAAATCGCTATAAGCCTAGACATTCCACTGAGTATAGCACCGCGACCATAGCGCTCAAATCCCTACGTTTGTTTAACTGGATTTCTAACTTTCTGACTGGGTTGCTCGACTCATATGTGACTGGATCCATAAGACCAATCCAAAGGCTTTCCAAATTTCAACCTCCATTCGTCCTGCTCACTTACTGGCCAACATCCTCTTCTCTTCCTCTGTCAACTATATTTGGCAGCCATAAAGACTCAGAGGAGATATCGAGAGTATTTCACTTTCGTTTTTCCTGCTTTAGAAACGAAGACAGCAGGAACAGCGGTTGATGCGCCAACGTGAAGTCGAAGAAATGACGGCGTGTCATCGAAATAGACAACTGAT